CTCAAGCTGACATCTTTGCTCTTCAACACTTTATAAAGGTCTTGTGCAGCAGATTTGCCTAATGCAATACGTCATTTGATTTCTTGACTGCTGTTTCCATGAGTGTTGATAGTTTATCCAAGAAGAATGAAGTCCTTGACAATTTCAATCTTTTCTCCATTGATAAGAATGCTGTTTATTGGTCTGGTGGTGAGGATTTTTGTTTTCTTTACATTGAGTTGCAATCCATACTGAAAGCTGTGCTCTGTGATCTTCATCAGTAAATGTTTTAAGTCCTCTTCACTTTCAGCAAGCAAGGTTGTATCATCTGCATATTTCATGTTGTTAATGAGTCTTCTTCCAATCCTGATGCCACATTTTTCTTCATATGACCTAGCTTCTCAGATTATTTGCTCAAGACTTGTTTTAATTTCCTTGTTAAACTCTGAATTACCTCGTTAAACTCCTTCACTTAAAGGATGGCAAGCTTTGCTCATTTTTAAATATTCAAATGATACAAACAATATTTATTCATTTAAGAAATGCAAGGGGATACCGATTATGTTACAAGAATTATGTTCCAGAAGTGTTTTGGCCACTGCCTGTCCCATTGGGCAGCTGGGTTGGGGAAAGTTCACTGGAGGTTATCACTGACCAGGAACCCCAATTTGGAACTTGGGACTTGTTCTCTTTTTGTTCCCATCACATTTATCATTCACAGAGCCCAATATTTTGTTGGGTGTGACTCAATGTGAACATAGTACAATCCAACCTGAAGACTGAAATTTTTATTTTCAGTATTTTGGATTTTTTTTTCCTTCTCACCTAAGACTAGCCTACAAGACTGATTCTAGAGATGTGATATCTTGGACTGCTTGGGCCCAGTGTTAAACCTACCAAACTACTTGCTGTTCCCTCATTCATCTATTTGTCACATATTAAATGAGCAGTTACTATGTGTCAGATGCTGAATTAGGCTCTCATTTGCATTCTACTTGGACAGCTAATAAACCAGTATGTGTACTTCTAGTGACATAGTGGGTTATGAGTTTGGCTGCAGATGACAAGGTTAGCGGTTGAAATCCACCAGCTGTTCTGCGGGAGAAAGAATTACAGTCTTGGAAGCCCTGTACAGAGTTACTATGAGTCAGAGCCTACTGGATGGCACTTAACAGTAGCAACAAACAAGATAAAGAAATCAGCATAAAGAATGTGGGTAATTGCTTTTGTATGGGAGTGTAGGGGTTTTGTAGTATAAGCACCGGACTTTGAACCAAAAAGTTGGCAGTTGGAGCCACCAGCCGCTCCATGGGAGAAAGGTGAGACTTTACACTCCCAGAAAGTTTATGGCCACAGAGACTCTGTGCAGGATTGCTGTGAGTGGGAACCTACTTGACAGCCCTAACAGCAACAACAATGAGGTGATTGGAAAGTTTGCTTTTGAGCAAAGACCTGAAAGAAGTAAGGAGCTGAGTTGTGTATGTGTCTGGTGGTGGTGGTGATGTGCCTCGGTTCTGACTCATAGCAACCCCATATAGGATTTCTGAGGCTGTGAATCTTTACAAGAGCAGAAAGCCTCATCTTTCTTCTGCAGAACAGCTGATAGTTTCGAACTGCTGACCATGAGGTTGGCAGCCCAACTCGTAACCACTACGCTACCAAGAGCTCCTTATGTATGTATCTAGAGCAAAGCTAATCAACTGGAGCTGGCTTTATTCCTCAGTCACATGTGACAAGGTTTGAAGACATTTTTGGTTATTATAATGTATCGGGGAACCTGTGCTACTGACATCTCATTGGAAGAGGCAGAGATACTGCTTAACATACTGCAATACACAGGACAGACCCCATGACAAGGAATTATCTGGTCCCAAATCTCAGTAGTGCTGAGTGTGAGAAATCCAGCTCTAGAGGAAGAGATGTAATAGCAATGGCAGAAGAAACAGCAACAATAAAAACAAAAGGAACAGTAAATCCTAAAGCAATGATGGGACAGGATTAGCAGGTTTGAGAAACAACTAGAAACTGTGGGTCCCTTAAGAAGAGCAAGCAAGGGTTGAAGGAGGCAGGCAGAAGATGAGGGCCAGAGATAAATAGAGGAAGAGGCCAGGGATGGCTTATAGGACAGTACAAAGACTTTGGCTTTTCTTTAAGGAGATGGGAGGCTGCTTAAGAAAATGTGAGCAGGCAGTGATGTGCCCTGATGTCCCTTATGGATACTGAGCTGAAGATCACTGTAGTGAGCAGGAATGGGAACCTGGATTGTTGTAGGTGGTAAGAAGTTAGCAGATTTGGGGCATATTTTGAAGGTAAGTGAACTTTGTTGTTGTTATTAGTGCCATCAAGTTGGTTCCAACTCATAGCAAACCTGTATAGGGTTTCTGAGGAATGGCTGGTGGGTTTGAACAACTGATCTCGTGGTGAGCAATCCTGTACTTACACTATAGCACCACACCCAAACCCCAGAGTCGATATTAACTATGTAGGATTTAGAAAAAGACAAGAGCATAGGATAACCATGTTTTTTGGTCTGAACAAGGCTGGTGTGTACTTAACTGGGTACCAAATTTGCAGTTCTGAGAAGGCAGGAGGACTCATTTGGTTTTTTGATGTATTATGTGTGAGCTGCCTGTGTGACATTGAGTAGGTGAATCTATCAACACAAATATGAAGTTTAAGAGAGAGATCTATTCTGGAGATTTAAATTTGAGAGTCATCAGCACATAGATAAGAGATGAAGTCTAAGAGGTTAGATGAGGAATCAAGGGATTTGAGAGTAGATATAGTTGAGTAGCGTAGTGGTTACGAATCGGGCTGCGAACCGGAAGGTCAGCAGTTCGAAACTACCAGCTGCTCCGCGGGAGAAAGATGAGGCTTTCTGCTCCCGTAAAGATTTACAGCCTCGGAAACCCTATTCAGGGTCGCTATGGGTCGAAACCGACTCGACGGCACTTAACAACAACAACAACATAGTTGAGTACTAAGACTGAAAAGCTTATTGGAGTGGGTTCAAGATAGGATGGGAAGGGTTAGGGTTAGAAAACTGTAAATAGAGAAAACTTCCAGGTGGTTTTCTCTAAAGTGGCACTGAGAAGTGAGTGTTAGCTGAAGGACCAATGAAAGGTAGTGGTGACTGGTAGTGATGGTGGCAGGCTTGTTTGTATGTAGGTGGGAATGATGCAGAAGACAGAAGGTCAGTACTTCTGGAAGAGTGAGCTCTAACACCCAGGAAAGGATTGCTCTTAGACAGGAATCAGCACCTTCATTCACAGAAACTGGAAAAAAGAACAAACTAGTAAGGAGACATTATGGTATTTCATTAGTATTATATATATGCATATATAAAACCAGTGACATTTATCATGCTCAGGTATTATTATTCAACTATCACTACTCTTTTCTTTCTAAATTTTTCCATCATCCTTAACAGAAGCTCATTGTTTACTAAGCAATGAGCCCTTCCCCCACTCCCCAGTCTTATTTCCTTCTGCCCTTGGTAGCTATAAATAAACTTAGGTCTCTAAGTTGTTTAGTGTCATCCAGTTGGTTTCAACTCAAAGCAACCCTGTATAGGGTTTCAAAGGGGCAGCTGTTGAGCTTGAACCACCGACCTTACCATTCCAGTGGACCTTGCAGTCCAGTGAATACATGTTGTTGTTAAGTGCCATTGAGTCTGTTCCAACTCATAGTGATCCTGTAGAGTTTCCGAGGGGCGGCTGTGGAGCTTGAACCACCGACCTTGCGATTCAAACGGTTCTTGCAGTCCAGCACATACATGCTGTTGTTATTGCCATTGAGTTAGTTCCGACCCATAGCAACCCTGCATAGAGTCTCTGAGGAGCAGCTGGTGAGCTTGAACTGCTGACTTTGCCATTCAAACCAACTCTGCAGTCCGGTGCATTAACCCACAGCACCACATCTGTATTCCTTAACAACAGTGACATATAGTCATTCCATACATACACTTGTCTACTTTAGATATTTCATATATATGGGATCATGCAATATTGAAACATCGAGGTATTAAGTGAAATAGACATCTAGAAAGGGGGAGCAATTGTTTTCTGTAGTTGGGTAGCCCTGGATCCTTTTCAAAGGAAGGTGAGACTCAAGCTTGACTTTAAACAAGTTTTATAACAGGCCTATATTTAATTCATTTTTATATTCAACTTATATGTTCCAAATTCACTTCACTATGTCATTTAAGGCCCTTTTTGGATGAAAAATAAAATATTACTCATAATAACATTCTAACAGTACTTAATATGAAATTATCTTTGCCTGAATAACCTGATTCTTTTCTTTTCGTCTCAATTTCAGGAACAAACTCTAGCCCTCAGGAAAGAAGGAATTGGAGTTGTTCTAGATTCTGAACTACCCCATTTGATTGGCATTGATGATGACCTTCTGAGTACTGGGATCATCTTGTATCACTTGAAGGTAGTTACTGCTTAAGATGGAACATTCTAATTTTATTTCCAGTTTTTCTTTCTTAACCACTAGCAAGATTTATTATAATATGAAGGAGCTTCAAAAAGCTTATGGAAAAATAAAATGAAAAGATAATGGATTTTTTTTTTCACTCACTTTTTAAAGCCCCCTTGTACTTTGTGACCATGGACACATCTATTAAATTACAGAATAGACAACAAATCTTTGAGCCATTTGAGGAATTTCAACAGTTAGTTGGGATTCTGTGTTGTTAAAAGTTTCCATGTTTAAGTAGTTCTAAAGCTAAAAGGTGACTGATTTTTGCTTCTATTTTATAGAATCAGTAAGAATGGAGAGGCAGGGAGCAAATAGGCAGACAGACTGAGGAAGATAAGTTATGCTATAAGCTCCTAGAACTGAGATATATTAAGTACAGTTTTCTGGCCCTTGGTGGTAATTGTAAAATTGTGTTTTCTGCCTTCATCATTGGGCTTGGTCAAGACAGCAGAATTGCCCATCAGTAGCAATGGCTGCCTCTGACCTTGGTTCGATGGCCTTTTTCTGACCCATGGCATAAAATAAGAGTGGTACTGCACTTGCATTTTGTGGGATCTGATAAGTTATAACTTTAGACATAAGGAAACCCCTGGTCATTGGGGAAGAAACTCATCAGAAAGGATGGGGAAACATCAGTGAGATTACTGTCATGAGCAAATTATTGATGCATGACAAAATAAGAGCCATTATTGAGCAGTAAGCTATGGAATTTCCTCTTTCATTTTCCAGACAACTTTGTTACAGCCCCAGTGAACTCTAATTACACCCAGACTGTCCCATTGGTCACCAGATTACTTGGGCATAGAAAAAAATGGTGAAACAAGCCCTTCTCTTGTTCATACTAATAGATTTTATTCGACTTTTCTCCCCAGGAAGGTCAAACATATGTTGGTAGAGAAGATGCTTCAACAGAACAAGATATTGGTGAGAATCTTTGTCATTAATTCCTTCCCAATGATTTTCAAAAATCCTGTTTAATAAAAAGGCTCCTCTGAATGACTGACATTGAAGTAATTGTAATGATTGATAGGAATATGTCAGCAGACACACAGGTAAAGAATATAACCTTTTTAGATAGACACTTATCTGTCCCAGAATGACTATGGAAAGTATGAGGTAACATAGCATATATCCTGATGGATGCACAGATGGATTTGTTTTCTTGAAATCTTCAGGAGGTACCCAGATAATCACGGACTCAGTCTGAATTAAGTGAGGTCCTGCTTACGGTCACCCTGAAGACCATTCTTAGTGGTGGTTATGTGTGTTTAAGGGCTCTGGAAAAATGGAATTAAAAGATAATGAAAATTTCCCAAGAATTATTTGAAGCCCCTCGTATGTATATGTGGCAGGGTGGTTTCTAGAGTTGCTGTCTATTAACCTGCTTCCTTGCCAAATATAAGTCAATAATCAAGCCAACCCCAGCTTATTCCTACTTTACTTACTATTTACTGGGAGTATTGAAAGTATTTCACTGTTTTGGAGTAGAAGTAGAAATCAGTCTTCTTCTAATCCTTGAATTATGTGTTTGACTTTTGGGGTTGTTGTTGTTGTTAGGTGCCTTCGAGTTGGTACCGACTCATTGCGACCTTATGCACAGCAGAACGAAACACTGCCCGATCCTGGGCCAACCTCACTACTGTTGCCACGCTTGAGACCATCGATGCTGCCAATTGGCAAATCCATCTCTTTGGGGGTCTTCCTCTTTTTCTCTGACTATCCATATGACCAAACATGGTATCCTTCTCCAGCGACTGATCCCTCCTGACAATATGTCCGAAGTATAAGAGACGAAGTTTGGTCATCTTGGCCTCCAAGGAACACTCTGGCTGCACTTCTTCCAACACAGATTTGTTGGTTCTATGGGCAGCCCATAGCCCTTTCAGTATTCTCCTCCAACACCATAACTCAAAAGCATCAATTCTTCTACGTTCTTCTTTATTCACTGTTCAGCTTTCACATGCATATGTGGTTATTGAAAATACCATGGCTTGGGTCAGGCACACCTTAGTCCTCAAACTGACATCTTTGCTCTTCAACACTTTAAAAAGGTTTAGTGCAGCAGATTTGCCTAATGGAATAAGTCATTTGATTTCTTGACTGCTGCTTCCATGAGTGTTGATAGTTGGTTGATTCAAGAAAAATGAAGTCTTTGACAATTTCAATCTTTTCTCCACTTATAAGAATGTTTTTTATTGGTCCAGTGGTGAGGATTTTTGTTTTGTTGACATTGAGATGCACTCCATACCAAAACCTATGCTCTTTGATCTTCATCAGTAAATATTTTAAGTCCTCTTCACCTTCAGCAAGCAAGGTTGTATCATCTGCATATCGCAGCTTGTTAATGAGTCTTCCTCCAATCCTGATGCCATGTTTTTCTTCATAAAAGTCAGCTTCTTGGATTATTTGCTTAGCATACAGGTTAAATAAATATGATGAAAGAATACAAGCTATAATGATGAATAATAAGAACACATTCTTTTTGTAAGTAGAGAAGTTCACTAGCTCAGTATTTTGGAGACAGTAAAAGCTATTTGGTCTGTACTCCTAAGAAGCTGGTCAAGAACTGTGCTTGAAGTAATATACATTTACTCAATAGTTTTACTTGCCTAACCATTCATCAAGAATATGCCAGAATGTTCATAAATGACTAAGCATAAATCATATATGATAAACCTAAGCAAACACATGGTTTCTGAGAGATTTATGGAAGTCAAGTTCTCTTAAAATTGACAGAGGTTGTCGCAGTGCACATCCTTGTACAGCTTCTGGAAACTTACTTGGGTCTCCCAAGTTTACCTTTTTTTTTCTGTTCTTTGTAATGTACACAGTGCCTCTATTTGAGGAGGTCATAATAAATCTTTGTCTCATGGAGCATTTTTTCCAATTAAATTTCTCTGTGGCTTATGGGTGGCCAATGGAGCAAATATTATTTAGTGTCAAACAGATTGTCTCAGTGGTAATCAGGTAAGACAAGTTACCTAACTTGTTTCTCCCTGAAGATGAAATAAACTATAATACTATAACTTATTTCCTTATGCAGATGATGACCCTGTGTGATAACATTTAAAGGATGCTTCCTGTTGGATCAGTTGATGCCATGAACTTCTAAGATTGTGTATTCTCACCAAACATAAATTTTTACTTCATAAGACTTTTATGATATGGGGGATGGAATTAAAATAAAAACAAAAAGAAAGAGAAAGTTAGGAATCATTGCAATAGATCTCAAAGTAAAATTTCTTTTTTCTTTTCTAACTTAGTTCTTCATGGCCTTGATTTGGAGAGTGAGCACTGCATCTTTGAAAATGTTGGTGGGACAGTGACTCTGATTCCTCTGAGTGGTTCTCAGTGCTCTGTGAATGGTATTCCAATCATGGAGGCCACACATCTAAATCAAGGTATCTGGGTTTTGGTTTCCACAGTTCTTTTTAAGAGTTGTTGCTGGAAGATATGTTGACGAGAGTATGGGGAAAACATGCATCTCATAATTGATTCCAGATAAGAAGAGTGATAACTATTTACTTCACTGTGCTCTTTTCTTTATTTTGCAGGCCTTCTTTGTTGTACACATTGTTTTGTTGAATTAAGTTTGAATGTATATATAACTGTCTTACATTATTGCTGTTATGGAAATATGCCAACACTAAAGGAATACTTTTTAAATGAAAAATATTCTTCGAATACAAGACCCTAGCACAATAGTTTGTTTTGATCATCTTATTTCCATTATTTATATTCTTTTTATGAACAATTTTAGGATCTGACCTCTTTTTAAAAATAACTTTAAAGAGAATGTTCTACATCCTACTTTGGTAAGTAGTGACTGGGATCTTAAAAGCTCATGAGGGGCCCTGTGAGCTGCAACTGTTGGTCTTTCCATATGTGGAAGAATGCAGAGTGAAGAAAACGAAAGATGCTTGCAATCAATTAGTCCAGTGTACTAATGGAACGCATGAATATCAGTCTCCACAACTCTAAAACCAGAAGAACTAGACGGTGTCTGACTGCCACTACCAACTGCTCTGAAAGGGGTCACATTAGAAGGTCCTGGATAGAGTGGGAGAAAAATCTGGAATGAAACTCAAAATTATACAAAAAAAAAAAAAAACTACTGGGACTGGAGAATGCGACTGGAGGAACCAGAGACTATGACCTTTGGTCGCCCTTCAGGTCTGGAACAGAACTCACCCTCGTGACTCAATTATCAACCAAGTAGTAGCTAGGTACAGAAGGGAGAAAACAACACTACTAGTAAGATATGCTCACTATGGAATGGTCAACCATTTAGCATCAAAAGTGTGACATTTACCAAAGGATAAGGTACAGAAGGGTTGGGAAAGAGGATGGAATGGAAATTGGGGCAACTTGTTACATGGTGGTAGTGGTAATGGTGGCGGTGGTGGTTCGTGTGCTGTCAAGTCGTACTGACTCATAGCGGCGTTGTATATGGTTTCTGAGGCTGTAAATCTTTACAGGAGTAGAAAGCCTCGTCTTTCTCCCATGGAGCCACTGGTGGATTTGAACTGGTGACCTTGAGGTTAATAGCCCAGCTCATTATCCACTGCACTACCAGGGGTAGCGATCACTGACATGAAACAAAGTATATGAATTGTTGAATGTAAAACTGATGATCTGCTCTGTAAACCGCTCAATTCACAAGAAAAAGTTTCAAAACAATTTTAGTATGACAGATTTGTTCTAAGAATGGTAAAATGATCTTTTTAAATTTCAGAACCATTTGAAAGTAAATTACTCACTGTGACCCTATCACCTCTGAACAATTTAGAGTGTGTTTTCTTCTGACAGTCCATCTGTGTGTAACCACTGTTCCACTATATTTGTTTTCTAAGGCTGCTGTAGAGAAATCCCTACAAAAATGTATTCTCTCACAGTTCTAAAGGTTAGAAGTCCTTTTCAGTGGGTTAGCACGATTATGCTCTCTGAAAGATCTTGAGAGATTCTTCCCTGTCTCTTTCTGACCTACCTTGGTGTGTAGATCCATTTTCACGTGGCCATCATGCCTCTGAATGTATGTTTCTGTGTTCTTCCTTTGCTTAAAGGACACCAGTCATAAAGATATCCAGGTGTACCGTAATGACCTTATCTTAACTAATTATATCTGCAGTGACCTGTTTCGAAGATTATATTCTTAGAAACTTAGGGCTAAAACTTGAACGATTTTTCAGTGGACACTGTTTTACCCATAACAACAACTCGTGAAACTAATTAGGAAACTAATATTGGTACATTCCTTCCCTCTAACCTTAAACCCCAGTCACATTTCACCATTCATACCAACAATGTCTGCTATAGGTCCAGTATTCAGTTTAGCATCATATATTGCATTTGGTTCCCATATCTCCTTAGTCTTAGTCTGAAAGAATCCCTTAATATTTCCTTGACTGTTATTTAGGATTTTGACTCTTGAAATCTGCAAGTAAGATAATTGCCATATAATGCCCTCAGTTTTGATTTATCTGATGTTTACTGATGATTAGATTGTTGTTGTTGTTAAAGTGCCATCGAGTTGGTTCTGACTCATAGTGACCCTGTGTAGGGTTTCCAAGAAGCTGCTGGTGAACTTGAATTGATGACCTTGTAGTTCAAACCTACCTTATGGTCCAGCGCATTAACCCATAACGCCACACCAGGATTCTGATGATTAGATTAAGGTTATGTAATTTTGGAATATATTTTAAATAAATGATGCTGGTAATCTCATATTCTGCCAGATGTTGACAATTTCTGTTTGTCTCATTACTGATGATACTCACTTTGGTCACATGGTTATTAAGGTGGTGCCTTCTAGGCTTCTCCCCTGCAAAGCTATCCTTTCCCCTTTCTTAATAAAAAGCACAATTGGAAGGTATTTGAGATTATAAATACTCAGTTCCTTATCATACTTCTACTCATTGATTTTAGCATCTATGGATAATTTTTTTTTTTTAGAAAACCATTTTATTGTGGTGAAATATCTGTATAAAAACATCTCATTTCAGTCATTTTTAGGTTACAAAATTGAGTCATAGGTGAACATCAGTTTTGCACTCATCCTATTGTATTTTGTTTCATTGCAATGATTACAATACCCTCCATGCATCACCATACAACAGTATTTGCTTCTATTCCCTCTGGTTTTGTTTTTTGACGTATACGAAAACACTCAGGAATATATAATCATTTAAACAAACAAAGGGCACATTCTGAAAGCTTGCCTTCTGCCTGCCAGCACACAGCTTTTCCCTTTCCATGAGTCTACAGTCCTCAACTACTCTATCTCTCCATGTCATCATCTCTGCTTCCATCTCGGGTGTCACTGCTTCTCTGGTTAGGGTTCCACATTCCACTTATGGTCATCTCCCTTGATGGTTCCTGGAATGTAAGATTAACTACTCCCTCCTTTATGTTACAAAATTTCTACCTTTACAGTTCTCACAATTGCAATTAGTTATGATAACAATTACTCACTATTGAATCAGAAGAATCTTATCCCCATCTCCTTTCACCAGACCCACCTAGACAAGATGAAAACTATTCAGTGGGGATTCTTCCGTTCCCTTCACACTCTGAGACTAAACTTCCTCTTGAAAACTTGTAAGCCAGCTACTTTGTGCCTTTATAGCCATCCCCTGCCCCCCATTTTAAGTAGTCAATATCTAAATTGCCCGTTCCTATCAGCCCTGTATACCGAGGGGGGATAGGCTTGATCCTTGATGGGAAGACTCTTTCTCTCATGGTTAGTGGTTTGAGCTACTACATCCATAAGTATAGGTCAAGTTTATCCAACTGTAGCAATTTACATTTGCTTCCTTTATCAGATTTCTTTATCTTCCTCTAGTTCAGTTCTGATCATCAAGCCATCGAAGCTATGTCAGATTGGTTACTATTTGCA